GTATTTCAATCGAGAGTGGATTTCAGTTTCGCCACTTTCGCATATTACATTCTGTGGTGATGTTGTAGATGGAGCGAAGTTGTATTTGTTATGGCATTCGACTAAGTTACATATTTTTGTTTTATAAGCAGGTTTTCGAGACTACCAGTAAATCATTTATATAAGATGTATCACCCTACTTCTTTTAATGGGATGAACGGGACTGGCAGCTGAATTTTCATACAATGATACAAGTTGAATCGAAGCTGCAGGCCACTATGGATGTGACTACCTGTTGGGAAGGCAAGGCTATGTAAAATCCAATGGAAACGTGGTGTCTATTCATAGCATTGTGGGAACATTGAAGTACCAATCACATTTTCACCTTAAATGAACTAGGGTGAACGCATCTTATACAGTACTTATATTCATATAAGGTAGGCTTAAATAATAGCAGTAGATCTTGAATAAGGATTCTAGACGTTCTGAGTTGCATTAGACAAGGATGATTTGATTGTCACTTTTCCCACAAGGCTATGAGTTAGCATCATATTGTCTCAGCCTCATATGAATCTTGTTAGCACCCTCGACATAATTCAAGGTCATATTATGCTAATAAGATTCAGATTAGATGAAAAATATAGTCCAGACTGGAGTAGAAAGCTTTTTCTGAGGCAAAGTTGAGCATATCAATCAAGCGAAAATTATTTACCAGTCGTTGAATCAGCTCAAGCGACCTAGGCTGACTCAAGTTCAAATTCATTCCCTAATAATTATTATAAAATAGCATATTCTAAAATAAATTGTTGTTATTGGGCAATTCAGAAAACTTGCTCCTTACTCTTTTCGTATCCACGACCAAATCGGACGGAAGTCAGAAGACTATTTTGACCGGTATAAAAGTTTCACTGGTATCTTTAAGGCATTATTTATGCATTTCTATTATTTGTGGGTGTCCAGGAGGAGAGTCTCCTCGACAAACGTGCTGCCAAGGGAGTCGACCAAGGAGTCAATATCTGCTGGTCAAGAAGCTCGCTTGGAGCAGAGGTCTGTAGCTCCGCTACATCCCCGGTCTCTGGCACAAAGGCGGCTCTGTTGCCCGGACTCGAGCCTACTTCTCGTTCCTCCTCCTCCTGTTCAACAGCCTCAGCGCCGCTCGTCCAGTCAACCACGGCTCCGAGCTCCGGCCAAAATGAGGCCAATCCGGTGGGACTTGACAGTGGGGCCTGTATTGGTGTGACGCCGGCTCAGGGCGTTTTACTCTCGACCTCTGCCGGTGCAACACGTCGACGTCCGATGCGATTAGTCCGCCATGAAACCGGATTTTCCAGACCCTTGGCTCGCCCGATGCCAAGACTGGCCTCAGCTGGGCTCACAGGCCTTCCAAACCACCAGCAGGAGCAGTGGGTTGATGGTCCCAACGCCGACTATTCCCAGTCACCCGAGACGGGCAAACAAAAAGTTCCCAGTCGACCCTCAGAAGGGCCGCGTTCCCAGTCCAGCCATCGCCATCACAACTTACAATACCACCACCACCACCACCACCCCTATCATCACAACCATAGTCACAACCATTCTCCCAACCACCATCCACATCTTCAGCGCTGTTTGCATACCCACCATCATGGCTACCACCAGCATCATCTCTCGCCTCAGCATCGTACCAATTGCCAAAAAGAGAGCCAGCCAACCGGCCACAGCAACCAGAATTCCAGAATAGCTTGTCGGCAACCTTCAGAGGTTCGTTGATCTTCTTGTTTCGTTTAGTGAAGCAATGGCATCAAATTGATTTATTACAATTTGGCAGTGATTAAAAAGTTGTATAAATGCATAAACACATTAACCACGTTCAGAGCATCAACTTGTGATGTCGATATTTGTCGTCCCTCTAGCGCCTTGGAGTCGTTTAAAAGTAATTTTTAGTCAAATGCTTCAAGTTAAAAACATAATTTACAAACGAATTTAAAGTATAGCCAGGCCAGTGAGATTATCGACGAACCAAACTTGTATTTGCAGTTGCATTCGACAACATCGCCTAAATTCGTAATGTACAGCTAGAACTTAAATAAGAGTTTTTAACTCCTATTTACTTCAAATAAAAAAAGTGCATAATTTGCAATATTGGCAAATAAAACAACAAATTAGCTTATAAATCTGTAGTGTAGAACTTAGATGACTATGTGCAAAGTTTGGTAGCAGCATTGGTTCTAGTTGCAAAGAAGACGGGTACCTTGGTCTTGCGATTGTTCTTCCGGTGTGACTGCAATGTCCTCAATGCTTCCGCCACAGATCCTCTTAAGTTCGGAAAGAGTTTTGGCATCTCAGCCTCATTTTATCACTTCTCTTGCCACTTTATATATACCTAATTATATGTGTTCA